AATTAACCGATCAATTACGCAGCCTCTCTTAGCCCCTCAGCCTACACTTTCTCCTTCTCCTGGCCCTTCATCCAGCTGCTAGATGATCCTTATACACAGCTGTTACCACCAGTCACCCTTGCCTGCTCCGTTGTCTGGTAACCACTGACTCTAGGCCTGAGCTTCTCAAACCTTAACATGCTCTTGAATCACTTGGGGGTCTTGTTAAAATACAGATCCTCTGCTGGGTACCTTAATGCAACAGCTCACTGAATCTCATAATGGCCTTAAATTAATAGCCTGTTTTACAGAAGAACAGGCGGAGACCCAGAGAGGTTACCCAACGTCTGGAATGGAACGAGAGATCCTACATTTCTAGTAAGATCCCAGATGATGCAGAGGCTGCTGGTTCGTGGTGGTCCACACTTCTAGACTAAACTCTCCTGCTGAGTTATTTTTTTCTTTAATTTTTATTTTTGTGTGTGTGGTACGTGGGCCTCTCACTGCTGCGGCCCCTCCCGGTGCGGAGCACAGGCTCCAGACGCACAGGCCCAGCGGCCCTGGCTCACGGGCCCAGCCGCTCCGCGGCCTGTGGGATCCTCCCGGACCGGGGCACGAACCCACGCCCCCTGCATCGGCAGGTGGACTCCCAACCACTGTGCCACCAGGGAAGCCCCTCTTCTTTAATTTTTAAACAGCAAATATATTTACCATGGTTTGAAAATTAGAAACTGTAAAAAGGTCAGTGAAAATTCTCCCTCCCACTCCATTTGCCCAGTTCCCCCCACTTCCCCCCAGTAACTACTTTTACTAGTTTCTTATGTATCTTTCCATAGTTTCTCTGTGCCAATACAAGCAAATATGATCACACTTATCCTGCCCCAAATGGACACACACACACACACACAGACATGGTTTTGTCAACAGTTTATCAGTTTATCTTGTAGATAACTGGACACAGTTGGCTGACTCATTCATTTTTAGAGTTGCATTATTATTCCATTGTGTGAATATGCCATAATTCACTTAACCAGTCATTGTTAGCTGGACAATCTGGGTTGTTTCCTATTTTACCAACTGGCCTTTTTAAGCCCATCATACCCTGGCCAACCTTGCTGTGACCTCCCTTCCATCCCCCAGTTCCCAGCTCCACTATCCTAAGTCCCTGCAAAGGTTTTTGCTCCTCCTACATGCCCCCCCTGCCCTGATCCTCCAGCCCACCCTGATTGCTCCTCCTCTGAACCTCTGTTAATTCCATTGTTAGTCTCCCCCTCATCATTTGCCTCCCCACCCTTCATCTCTCCATGTGTCTCTCCCTGTCTCCCTAAATAGACTAAAGCAACTTGAACTCAGAAACCATGTCTTTGATTTCTCTGGATCCTTCACAGCCCAGAGCTGGGCACACAGTGGTTCTCAAGAATATTAGTTATATGGTGGAAGTTGTACATGACTGGAGCCACTGGATGGTGGCTCTGCTGGGGGTGGTTCAGGGTGTAAGAGCCCAGGAGCAACCCAAGGTGGGAGGGGCCTCGTACCTCAGAGGTCTCCTAGGAGGAAGCCCCTATCTGATGCCTGAGTGTCTTGAGGACTTGGGTGGGTTGTGATGATGTCCAGGGTGTGATGGGGCATCTGGGGTCCCCTTGTGCCCTTCCTGTGTGGACAGTGGGAGGAACCATGATGTGGAGATGGGGGTGGAGGGACAGATCATATCGGTATGTGTGGATGCCCTGGAATGGGCTGCTTCTGGTCTCTATTAATATCTTTGTCATCCTTCAGAGGCCAGCTCACGTCTCCGTTCTTCCAAGAAGCCTTCCTGGACTTCTCCAGCCCACGCTGACCTCCCCTCCTCTGAATTCCTGTTGTGTATGTATTAGTGACAGCAGTCACTGTTCTGTACTTGGTCATCATGGTCTGCCACCTTGAATCATGTAAACCCAGCTTCCTGATGAGACCCCAAGATCCTCCATGGTAGAAATAAGACTTCTATACTTCTCTTCTATCCCCAGTTATCACAAACCCTGAGCACGGCACCAGACAACTGGGTCAGCCTCCACAAATACTCCTTGAATGAACAGGAGTGCCACAGGAGTAGGTGGGGTAGGACAAGGTTGACCACAGGCGTGTCACCAACCAAGAACATTTGGGAAACACGAGTGTTTTTAAAGATGCTCTGTCCCCCAATCTGTTCCTCAGTCCCTCCCCTCCTGGTGGGAAAACTATGACCTCACAGCCACAAGACTTGAGGGCCCTTCTCATCCTGTCCCTTGACACTGGGCGGACTTTTCAAAAATGTTACTGTCATGAAAAACGAACAAAAGCAGGGGACTGCCCTAAATTAAGAGATTAAAGGAACATGACGAGCAAATGCAATCTGTGAACCTTGACTGGACTGTGGACTGGAAAAAAATCAAAAACTAAAATGACATCCTGGGGGGATAACTGGGAAATTTTTAATGTGGAGTATATTTCAGATGTTAATAGTGTATCGATGTTAAATTTATTGAGTGTGAGAACTATATTGAGGTCATTTAGGAGAATGTCCTTATTCTTAGGCAATGGAAGCAGTGGTGGGTGTGGGGAGATGTGCCATGATATCCACACCTTCCAACTGTCAGTAAAAAGAAAATGAAAAGTGTGTGGTGGTGGTGGTGGTGGTGGTGGTGGTGGTGGTGTGTGTGTGTGTGTGAGTGTGTGTGTGTGAGTACAGGTGGTCATTTTACTAGTCTTTCAGATTTTTCAGGATGAAAAGTTGGAGGGAAAATACCTGGTACAAAGAGCAGCGCCACCCCAACTGTCTGGGAGAAAGAGGAGGAGAAAGGCAGCGGGGGTTCTGATTGGGTAGCTCAGGGGAAACACTCTATCTGTGACTTGATCGCCCCCCACCCAGCCTTCCACCCCTGCTGCCCAGAAAGCATCCAAATCTAACCCCTTGGACTGACTCTCCCCTACTCTCTGCATCTTTCACACAGTCTCCCGGGTCCTCATCTGATGGGACCTCCCCTGGTGGACAGCCACCCCCAGCCTAGCTAGTATAGAACTTGAAGCAACTTAAAGGTTCACAGCTCGTCTCCCTGGACAATGAACTGAACCTCTGTGGGCTTGACCCACCTGGAGTTTTTAGAAATTACATCCACTTAGAGGATGAAAGGGACCCCTTGTACACCGTTGGTGGAAATGTAAACTGGTGCAGTCACTATGGAAAACAGTATGGAGGGTCCTCAAAAAAATAAAAATAGAACTACTATATGATCCAGCAATTTCACTCCTGGGTATATATCCGAAGAAAATGAAAAAACTAATTTAAAAGATACATGCACCCCAATGTTCACAGCAGCATTATTTACAATAGCCAAGATATGGAGGCAAGCTAAGTGTCTATCGACAGATGAATGGATACAGAAGATATTTCATTTATATATATATACATATAAATGTGTATATACATATATATACACATACACACACAATGGAATACTACTCAGCCATAAAAAGAATGAAATCCTACCATGTGCAACAACATGGATGGACCTAGAGGGTATTATTCTTATTAAAATAAGTCAGACAGAGAAAGCAAATACTGAATGCTAACACTTATTTGTGGAATCTAAAAAATAAACTGAATGAATATAACACAACAGAAACAGACTCACAGATATGGAGAACAAACTACGGACGTGGGGAGAAGGAAGGAAAGAAGGACAAAATAGGGGTAGAGAATTAGGAGGCACAAACTACTGTGTATAAAATAAATAAGCTACAAGGACATATTGTGCAGCACGGGGAATATAGCCAATATTTTATGATAACTTTAAATGGTATATAATCTATAAAAATATTAAATCACTATGTTGTACACCTGAAACTAATATAATGTTGTAATTCAACTATATTTCTAGTTAGATTTGGATGCTTTCTGGGCAGCAGGGGTGGAAGGCTGGGTGGGGGGCGATCAAGTCACAGATAGAGTGTTTCCCCTGAGCTACCCAATCAGAACCCCCGCTGCCTTTCTCCTCCTCTTTCTCCCAGACAGTTGGGGTGGCGCTGCTCTTTGTACCAGGTATTTTCCCTCCAACTTTTCATCCTGAAAAATCTGAAAGACTAGTAAAATATATATTCACTTAGCTTCACAGAAAAAAAGAAAAAGAAAAGGAATTTGGTGTTTAAAAAAAAATGCCAAGATTTAGTCATCCTACATGTTCTTTGGAGCTCTGTCAATGAGGATATTTTCCGCCCTAGTTATCAGATCGGGACACTAGATTTTGCTTTTTTAGTTTTTTAATTTATTGCTTTTACCTTTTTTTCTTACGGGCATTTCCTTACAGGCATGGAAGATGCCTGGCCCACATTTCTGAGGGCCCCTAGAACCCCTCAGCGCGCGCGCTGTGTCCAGCCACTTCCCCAGTGCTGGGCGCAAGTCGTTTCCGAAGTTCCGGATCGACGTGGTCACGCACCTCCTGAGAAGCTGGAAACTGGCCTGCCCCCTCCCTTCCCCGGGGGACGAGGGGTGGAGGAGGGGGGCCAGGAGGCGACCCGGGGGAGGGGCGGGTCGTCTCCGCGGCTGGGCGTGGGCTGGGCGAGGTCCCGGGCCCACCGGGCC